TCATTTTAAAGCCCTTGAAGAGGACTATAAGTATATAAAATATTGCATTTGTAACTTTAATATTGATGTAGTTATAGGTGATATAAGATTTATTGATTATCCGGACACTTTTGTCCCTACTTTAAAAAAGTAATTTATAATTATCCCATATCTCTAAAAGTCATCTAAATGCTATAAAACCTTTATGGTAGATACTTTTAGATGTCATCCTTTACCTTATAATCTTATTTTACCTATGAAGAAGTTATCTGACTCTATTCAGCAGGATATAATTTCATCCTTATCAAGTGGCCTTTCCATTAGGAAAACTGCTGATAGGCATGGTGTATCTAAGTCTACAGTCCAGGAGATTCGTGCAAAGCACCTTCCTGACCTTCCTAGGAGCCCTACTGGTCATTCATCTAAGCTTTCTTCCTAAACAGTAAGGTACTGTACTCAGCTTGCAACATCTGGCAAGTGCCAAACAGCTACTAAAGTGACCAAGGAGCTCAGAGATAATGTTGGAATTAGTGTCCATCCCAGGACAGTATGTAGAGCCCTCTAGCATGCTGGTCTCAAGGCTGCGAAGAAAGAAATAAAGCCTAAGATTTTGCCAAAAAACCAGTGTGAGAGATATGAGTTTGCAAAGGCCCACAAAGACTGGACTGACAAGGACTGGGAAAGGGTTATATGGTCTGATGAGACTAAAATTAATTGATTTTGCTCAGATGGTATATCCTGGTGCTGGGTATTTGATGATACTAGCCTTCAAGACTACCAAGTATTGGAGACAGTTAAATTTGGTGGTAGATCAATTATGATATGGGGCTGTATGACTCATAAAGGCCATGGTTTTATGTGCAGAATATCAGGGACTATGGACCAGCATCTATACAAAAGCATTTTGGTTGATGAGTTGGGCCAGACAATCCAGTTTTATGATCTTGATCCTTCTAAGGTCATATTCCAGCAAGACAATGCTCCTTGTCATACTACCAAAATGGTTCAAAACTGGCTCAGTGAGCAACCATATGAAGTTCTCAAGTGGCCAGCCCAGTCTCCAGACCTTAACCCAATCGAAACCCTGTGGGCGATTATCAAGAGAAGGCTCAATGAATATGAGACACCCTGTCCTGGTATCAATGATTTGTGGGAGCATGTCCAAGAAATTTGGAATGATATTGGTACTGAAACATGTGCAAAGCTTGTTAGAAGTATGCCTAAGCGTATTAAAGCTGTTCTGAAGGCTCGTGGAAAGTGGACCTCTTGTTAATTAACTTTTTTAAAGTAGGGACAAAAGTGTCCGGATAATCAATAAATCTTATATCACCTATAACTACATCAATATTAAAGTTACAAATGCAATATTTTATATACTTATAGTCCTCTTCAAGGGCTTTAAAATGAGCCCTCTTGGGCATCTGTAGCTCTACTATTTAGCAAGTTATTGGCCTTTAAAGTTAGTCCCATAAAACATCCAGACACTTTTGTCCCTCACTGTATATTTATAAGAGAAGTAATGAGAATGACCAATGTAAATACTATGAAGGATAAGAACCAAGAGAACAAAGCTGCCTTGTCTGTAGGTTCACAAAGAACCTCTGTAGTGACTTAGCAGATCTGAGGCCCAAAGGGCCATCCTTATAAGTCCCTAATATTGGTGGTGGCTGTGATAGGAAATTAATCACATAATTTGATGACGGCATAATTTACAGGGATATAAATCAAACTTTTTAGCACCTGGATAAAACTTTCTGTATACAAGAGATAAACACCTGCCATAGGAATCCATATTCGCTTACTTCTGAACAACTTACCTTCTTTTGAATTTTCTTTACCTTCTAGAGTTAGAAGGCCCTACATAATCACTGCTTTCCCTCATTATTATTTATTATTTCTATTCCTTTTCTTTTTTTCTTTCCTTCTTATTCAACACACTTTCCCAAATTACTTATATAAAAACACCTAAAAATTCATATACTATAAAACTCCCAAAAAATTACCTTACTTAACAGTTATTCTTCTACTATGTGTGATAAATTATCCTCCTCCCACAAGGACAAGGTCACCTCTGATTCCCCCCTAGCTGCTGAACAAGCAAACTCCTATACCTCTACACACAACTGTAGAGCCTCCCACCAGACCTTGTGACTGGGTGGATGGGAGGGAAAGTGGCTCCTGCTCTATCTGGACTTCAACAGGCTTCATCATAATAAAAGAATGTAAACAACAAATATATAAATAGCAACTTAAAATACTATTAACTATGAAAGATCAAAAGTAAAAAAACTCAATAAAATTCTACCTTATTTCTAAAAACCCTTTCTCCTTTTCAAAGTGAATAGTCTATATTTCACACAGATACTCCCAATTATGGGTAAGCATTGTTAGGCCTCAGCCTGACATTTTGCCCAAATACATTTATCAATACAACTATTATGGGTTTGGAGCGAAATTTAATAAAAACCTTAAATCATTTAATTAGTTTATTTGGCCAACTGGCTAATTATATTAATAGACTTTACTTAATAATTTTATTAGTTCTTTCTCTTTCATTTTACTATTAACAATTACTTCAATAAAGTTAGGTTTAAGAAGACTTTTTCTTATCCAATTAGGAGTCCTGTTATAGGAAACAGCCTGCCAGGCTGGACTAGTAGTTCCAACTATTGGTTTTACCTGTGCAGAAGCCCAGGGTTTTACAAGCATAATCAGAGTACCTGGGATAATATAATTTAGTGACATCATACTCCTTTTCATCACACATGAACTGTGCTGAATTCTAGTAGAATTAATCTACAACACTATTTTGATCATGATGATAACTTATAATAATCATATGGATAATCCTAGAAGGGATTCACAACTGATCCAGTCCAAATTTTATCTTTAATTAGTACAGATAGTTTTAGTAAAAGTTTTACATGATAGAGAGGAGATCTCTCTCTGAAGTTTTATGAATAAAGATTCAATATATATTACTTGTGGAAACTGAATCCAAAGTGTATAAGCATATATTTATTTAAAGGACAACTCAAAGTATCTAAACTATAGAAAAGGCCAACATCCATCAGGGATCAATGGAGAAGAATGCATCTGCTGCATCTGTAGTTACCAAAAGAACCCCTACAAAATAACACAGTTGTGTCTCCACCAGTGCCAGAGATACTAGGTTCAGCCAGTGCTTTAGATGACTCCTTAGACATAGTTTTAACAGAATAAACTTTAACAGATGGTTAATAATAAATTGCTTTATTTAATAGTTAAGAATTCAGAGAAATCAGTTGTTAGTTCTTAGAAAAATAAGCTATGGAAAAAGTATCTGTTATATAGTGAAAAGTCTTCTCCTCCTAGAGAATGTTTGTAGCTAGTACAATATTTGTGGCTACAGAGTTGTTTATATTTATAATAATAAAGGAAATATTGGATCATTACAACAACATTGTGAGTTTATTTATAATTATTCCAATGAAGTGGCTGAATATACCATCTTGTTTATGGTTCTATCAAATACCATGACAAAAATGTCATGAAAATCCCTATTTTTATGCCTACTGATCAATTTTATGGATAAACAACAGATGTTGTTTATTTTCTTTGTACCTTTATCTTTGTGCCAAAGCACAAAGAGGGTTTCTTTATTTACTTTTACTGATAGTTTATTTTACATACATTTTAAGTACCTATAAATACTGCCCCCCCCCCAATTTAAATAAACTATATGCTTATACTGTTAAGTTTTCTACTGCTATTTACTGTTTTACTGTTACTGATTACTGTTTTACTGCCTTACTATGTCTTCTAAGAAAGCTGCTAGTGATACTATTGTTTCTACCTCGAGTGAGTTCAAGTGTAGCGACTTAGCAGATCAGAGGCCCAAAGGCCCATCCTTGTAAGTCCCTAATATTGGTGGTGGCTGTGATAGGAAATTAATCACATAATTTGATGACGGCATAATTTACAGGGACATAAATCAAAACTTTTAGCACCTGGATAAAACTTTCTGTATACAAAAGATAAACACCTGCCATAGGAATCCATATTCGCTTACTTCTGAACTGCTTCACTTCCTTTGAATTTTCCTTACCTTCTAGAGTTAGAAGGCCCCACATTATCACTATTTTCCCTTATTACTAATTATTATTTCTATTCCTTTTCTCTTTTCTTTCCTTCTTATTTAACCCATCTTCCTAAATTACCTACATAAAAACATATAAAAAATCTATATATTATAAAAACCCCAAAAATATTATTTCCCTTATTATTTACTAGCCATGACTGATATTTCTTCTTTGCCCAAGGACAAGGCCACCTCCGATTCCCCCCTAGCTGCTGAACAAGCAAGCTCCTACACAAGATAAATGTAGAGCCTCCCACCAGACCTTGTGACTGGGTGGGTGGGAGGGAGAGTGGCTCCTGCTCTATCAGGGCTTCAACAGGCTTCATCGTGATAACAAAAGAATGTAAACAACAAAGATATAAATAGTGACTTAAAATACTATTAACTATGAAAGATCAAAAGTAAAAAAACTCAATAAAATTCTACCTTATTTCTAAAAACCCTTTCTCCTTTTCAAAGTGAATAGTCTATATTTCACACAGATACTCCCAATTATGGGTAAGCATAATCAGAGTACCTATGATAATATAATTTAGCGACATCATACTACTTTTCATTACATAAAAACACTGTAGAGGTTCTTTGTGAACCCACAGACAAGGCAGCTTCATTCTCTTGGTTCTTATCGTTCATAAGGTTTCCATTGGTCATTCTCGTCACTTCTCTTATAAATATTTAATTATTTATTCATAAAAACGTCATAGAAATCAGAGAGAGTTCTCCAAGAAAACATTGAAAAACTCTACATAAAAGTTTGTTGTTAATCTGCTAATAATAAAATTTGTACTTAATCATTTTATACCTATTATGGGTTTTACCATAATTTATGTTATAATTATTCATGGTTGTCAAATGCCTGTTGTGCATGGATTCCAGCAGAATCCATCACAACACAATATTAGTCAGTATGGCCGAGTGGTTAAGGCGTTAGACTTGAAATCTAATGAGCATTGCTTTCACAGGTTCAAATCCTGTTGCTGACGTTTAACTTTTACTTTTTTCATTCAATCCAGCTTCTGTCTATAGAAATACTATTTCTAAGTAGTTGAATAGTTAAAGAAATTTATTTCTTGTTCAAATTATAGAAGCATTTGAAAAGGTGGGGGTATTTATATTCCATAAAACCTATGGTAATTTATACTAAAGGGTCATATAGATTACTAGCAGGTGCTGGTGAGGGACAATGCTAATGCTTGTGGTTTTGGTGCTTTCATAGAATAGTGACCACCATCACATGATCACCCATAAGTGTAATAATAATTTTAAAAAATATTATTTTTAATAATAATGGTTTTATTTAAATTTATTATTTTCCAACTTATGGGTTGATCATGTGATGGTGGTCGCTTTTCTAGGAATCAACTGGAAACAGTTTAGATAATTTTGGCTTTCTAATAAATTCTTATTATTAAAAAAAACAAATAAAATCTACAATTTGGGCAACATACTTTTTCATATTCAATTTTTGGCCTAGTCTCTAGATGAGATCTTTTTAGGAACTGTGTGATAAAAGAAGTGAGTATTGGTCAAAGGGAGAAATGGCTAATATTGAGTGGATGTGGTCAAGCTTCACTAGTGACAAATACATAGTAATAGTCAGAAGGGCATCCCTCAGGTTTTGATCCAATTATGTGACAATTTGTATGCTACTCTTGGAAACAGAGTTTTTGACTAATGCCCTGGTGAAATATGACTTTATATCCAAACTTGCAATTTTTGAATTTTTTATATAAAAAATTGTTCTTTATGCCAAAATATAATTTCTTTTGATAATGTATAATTTTTAGGAGTTCGCTAGTGATCGTCATGTGTGAAAAGATAAAAATGGGACCTCATCAAGCTTTGACCCAATTATGCGACAATTAGTGTGCAACTCCTAGGAACTCATTTTTATCTCAGACGTTATGAACTTTGAATTTTATCCAGTGTGTTTGTAAGTATCAAGTTGTAATAAATGCTCACTTTAGTTTGGATGATAATAGCTGTAATTGTTTATAAATCAAATAACGAATGTCAATACTAGTGCAATATGCCAAAAAACTCGGATTATAAATATCCATCCATGTATATATATATCTCTCTCCCTGTAGTATCATGTGGGTGGTGTGAATGTGTGTTATATAAAGTATAAAGGATTTGAATCCGCAAACAAACTACTGCAGTTGTTGTTGCTGGATCACTCACTCACAATTATGGAGATGATATGTATATAGTCTTGATCCCTTTCCGTTCCGTTTAGTTATAGAATTTGCGGTTAGGAGAAGGGCCGAACAGGCTCAAACGAACCATGGGCAACGCCTTTTCGGTACACAGCTGAATACGAGACTCGATGGTATTAGTAACACTGATGGACCCGTTGCTGATAGACAGGTGGACACCGCCAATGCTGTTATCAGAAAGGTATTCTGAGGTGTCGAAGTCAAGCTTAACCTTGGAGGCGACCAAGCCGTCCTTCTTGTGCTTGGCCTTGAACTCATCCTCAGCAGCCTTTACGGACTTTCTGGCAACCTCGACAAGATGGTTGCGCACCAAAACACGCACAGTAACAGAAGGCTGGGTCTCGTCGATTTGGGAAAGACCGAGCTTTTCAAGGCCTTCGACACAAAGGGTTTGGACCAATTTGGCATAGACCTTTGAATCCTCAACCTTCTTCTTGAGCTGGGCCTCGACTTGTTCAAAGACCTGGTCGACTAGCTCTTGCTGTCTCTTTAGAACGGCCAGGCGGGAGGCATTGTTCATTTTGGACTCGACAATGCGTTTCTTGACTTCGTTCTGTTTGACTTGTTTTTCAAAGTTTTGTTCCAATTTGACGCTGTCTTCACGAACTATCTTGGCCTGAGTGGAGCATATGGAGTACAATAGTATATATGTTAAATACCTTTGGAGAGCGAGGAAGAATTGCAAAATAAAAGATATAGGGTAATTTATGCAAATGTTTACCTTTTCGATGTTGAAATCCTCATCAGCCTTGAGCTTAATTTCCTGGGACTTTTCTAGAGCCTCGTGGCGAATGAATTCAATCAACTTCTTCATCTCCTGATCGGCCTGGTCGTCATTAAGAGCCCTAGAAGGACCGCCCGAAGCAATTTGGCTGGAGCTCATATTATCGAAAGGTTAGAATTTATATATATAAATACAAATGGAATAGATAGTAGTAGTAGTGTCCAAGTAATAAAATACTTTATTATTGTTATGAAAGTATAGCAAGCACAACAACAACAACAACAAAAGAGAAAGAAAGGTGGGATAAAAACGCAGACACAGAGGCACAGGCAGACTGACGTACCACCACAACTTGCAAAGTATAATATTGTGATATGCGTGTGTTTCTGTTTGGTGAGCCAGGCCAGGATTTTGCTGTTAGTGAGTGAGTGGGGGAGGGTCTGTGGATCAGGTGAGAGACAGTGGGATTCACACTCCTGTCATATTGGATTTTTGACCAGTCAGCTTCCGAATTTATTTATTCTATATTTTTGTTTGTATGGCTTTAGTTGTAGCAACTGATAGTGCCGCATAGAAAATAAATAAGCTGTGTGTGTGTGTGTGTGGGGAGAACGAGGTTTATCATGGAAGGCTTGGGGCTTAACGGTCTTTATCTTTGGGTTTATTTACAAATTTCTTTAGTATAAAGCTCCATCGCCTAATGGGTTCTTTAGCCAACTTTTCTTCAAGTCTTTGTACAAAGACAAGATCAAACCATATATTCTACCTATGTCTCTCTGTCCCACCTATTTATCTATTTATTTATTTATCTATCTATCTAGCTTCTTAGGGTTTGGATTCTTGTGTGCATCAAAAACAATCGCAGTACATTTATAAAGACATAATAATAAAAGTGTAAACCAATAGATAGATGGAAAAGTTAAGGTTACTAGTCTAGTCTAATAGAAATTATAATAAGATCTATTCAAAATCTACATCCCATATATAGATAAATATCCTGTCTATTCAGAGAGACTCTTTACTGGGTCAAAAAATTCTTTACCAATTCCAAAAACTCATTTGGCTTCTCAGCATGCACCCAATGTCCAGTATCCAAAGTCTCAATATCACTATTAGGGAAATACTTTTCGATGTCCGGGTAATATTTGGGTTGGATGTAAGAAGATTTAGCGCCCGAAATAAACAATGTAGGGCCAACATACTGGCGGGTATCCTCCCCCATGGATGATGATGTATTAGTAGAAGGAGGAGGAACTGTGGGCCATTTACCCATATTTTCTATACTTTCATCAATAATATCCAAAGGCACACGACACACATACCCACCACTTTGTTGAGACTGTTTCTTCATGTTGGTTAACAAGAACTGGCGGATTCCAAGATCTTTTTCATATTTCTGTAACATCTGGTCGGCCTCTTTCTGAGACTTAACACCGGCCTTTTCAATCTCCTTGAGAGCTCTGGTATAAGCCCGGAAATCGCCAGACAGCGGATAATGAACCGGAGACATGTCATCGACAATCAGGCTATGGACTTTCGACGGATAAGTTAGGGCGAAATTCATTGCGACCTTGCCACCCATCGAATGGCCCAAAATGATGGCTTTTCCTGCAATGTTATGGTCGTTCATGAACTTCTCAATATCAAGGGACATTGCTTCGTATGTGTGCGGGTGCTGGTGTGGACTGTCGCCGTGGTTTCTTAGGTCTACGGCATAGACTTCGATGCCCAGGGAGTTTGAGATGGCTTTGGACATTGCGCCCCAGTTTTGTTTGGAGCCAAATAGGCCGTGCATTACAATCATCGGGGCTAGTAGCTTTGCGGCTGCTGGGGGTTTGGTGGGCTTTATATGGGTGTATGTTAAACTGACAGCCGAATCTTTGTTTGTTGTAGTAGGGGTGGTGGTGGTTGAATAGTGGCGTCCGCACTGTGGTTTTTGTAACCTGCCAATTGTATAATCATGGTTACTGTTGTTGGAATGTAGGTTCCTAGATCTTAATAAATTGGCCATGGCAAAAATATCCCTACGACCAACTTTGGAGAGCGATGGTGTGATGCCAGCGGTGGCTGAGAGGAAACATAACAGCCCTGTGGGTCTGTTAATAAGCATTGCTGCCATTATATTGATTTCTGATGGCTTAGATTTCAACCCTTGCAATACTACTACGAATGGATGTAGGGTCAAAGAGCTGTGTGCGGTGAAATGAATGGTGGTGATATAAAATATCCGCCGCTCTGGTCGCTGGTGTTTTTTGTGAAAAAGGATCAGATGCCTGATGGCTGTATGGTGTCACTGTTGCCGTTGTGAAATCGATTTCTGGTGGCAATAATACAGCCGGTTCAACGTATCTTTTTCAAAGAATCAAGGTGCGTTATCAGCTTGTATAAATATAGAATTATAGCTGGGAGAAAGTAGATAAAGGAAAATAAGCTTAAAGCTTAATGTAAGAAGCACATTAATCGTCATGATGAGAAACTATTCCTAGCTGTGTCCTATCTTTGCCAAAAATGATTGGTGATTTGATCATTAATTGTTTTATTAAGCATCTAATCGGAATCGGTTAGAGTAGCTTTGATGAGGATATCTGGTAGAGTAAGTAGTCTGTCTATATCTTCAAAAGAGTATGGATGGTAGTTGGCAACCCCTTTGGATTCCAGTCAAAATGTAAGGCTTATGGGCCAATTTTGTGTATGAGGGCTGGTTCATTACTGAAAGTGTAGTAGGTGCTATCTTTCTACCAAGAACCTCTCGCTATGCCTACGAAAATGTTGGCAAGAACAAAATTTCAATTCTAGCATTGATATTTGCATGAAACCTTTTTATATGTGCACAAACTTGTGTTAGTGGTGGAGGTGGGGATGGCAAGCAGGCTAAACCCTACCCATTTTGTAAATCCTGCCAATAAGTTTATGATGCGATAAAGGCTCTGGCACTCCTACTAACCTTTGTTGTTTTATTAAAAGCAAAGATTCGTCGCCATTAATACGATATAGTCTCTTACAATTTCATTTCTGCATTAGAATTATTAATCAGTTTTCG